ATACTGTCGAGGTTACTCTACTATATACCCTACCTGGCACCTCTACACCCAGGGCGTGTCGCAACAACCTTCATCGGCCTCGATGGCGTATGCGAGATTCTCATCGGACAGTGTGCATGGCGCATGGCCAACTCCAGTTCCACCGATGCAGAACGGCAACTCGGCTCAGATCTCGTCACCGCATCGCTTTGTCTCCAGGCAGCACTCTTCGGTGCATTTGGTCTTCTCGCTGCGCAATTCCATCGACGTGCCAACAAAGCCGGAGTACTCAAGCAGGACCTACGCGTCGTACTATACGTTATGTACGTGAGTGCGAGTATCGTAACCGTACGCTGCATCTACCGCCTCGTGGAATACATCCTCGGCTGGGAGTCCTCCATTTATCAGAACGAGATCTACTTCTGGATCTTCGAAGCTGTCATTATGTTCCTCAACACCGCTCTACTCAATCTGTGGCATCCGGGTAAACGACTACCTCCCTCCAACTCCGTGTTCCTAGCTCGCGATGGCGTGACTGAACGGAAAGGACCAGGCTGGGGTGATGACAGGCCGTGGATAATTACCATCTTTGACCCTTTTGATATTTGGGGCCTGGTCAAGGGGAGAGATAAGAAGACACAGTTCTGGGATATGAGCGACGCAGAGTTAGAGACGGCTAGAGCAGAGAAGAAGAGGAATAAGCGAGGAGTACTTAAGGGTTTGATCGACCCTTTTCATCTTTGGGGTGAGAGGGGATACATTGGCAGGTATCTCAACAAAGACAAGAGAGGCAACACAAATGACTATGAGAATGTATTACAGCTCCGACAGGCCAAGCAGCACAAGTACAGTGGTAAAGGTACAAATGATGCAGTCTGAGGAGAGGCGCGGATGATAATCAGACCTGTGGAACCTTCTCCTTACCCATCTATCGTTCTTATGATTGTCAATCTCGTTCTTTCATCTTAAATACTCCTCAAAGGTTGTCGCAGTCTCCAGAATACCCTTTCGTCGAAGCAAACATTGAATAGTTTCCATCAAGCAATCAATCACACTGTCATAAATACTCTCTTCCAGACTCTCCATGGCAAGACAAATCCCATACCATTCTAACAGTAAGGAACTATGCTCAACAAGATGTTCTACGAGATATTCATCCCCTCAGTCCTCCTCGTTCTCATTGCAGCTATCGCGGCATTACACCACTACAGGCCAAAATTCTTCCCCGGGCTACGGAACATCCTACGCAACGCAGTAGTACGGCTTTACACTTACGTTCGACAGCAGTGGACCCAACGAACAACACAAGGACAACAGAACAACAACGTTGCGAATGCGCCCAATGCACAACCAGTTAATCCCTCGACACAGCCGCCTCCAGCGGTGGCTTCATCACAACAGACCTCCAACGCTGTACCCTCCGCAACGAACCAGACGCTCCCGAGAGATGGCATCGAGCTTCAGAGACGCGCGGATACTGGAGACGCATCAGACCTGTTGCCTTTCGACCCTCTAACGACAAATGCGCCGGTATATCATCCACATCAACTAAATGAAATACCGGAAGCGGAAGACTCGTCTGAGAGAACAGGTACGTAGTCGACCAACCATCTTGACATTGAAGAGTGGCGAGATTCTAACCTAAGCAGTGAGATGATGCGAATGAGTATGCGGAGGGCGAGCGTCAAAATGACGACCTCTTTGGGATGTAGTCTCGGCAAGAGTTGAAGCCGAAAGGGAACGCGTATGGAGCTTACAGCATGAAGGCGATTGTACGTAGACATCTTCGACTATTGGCGGAAATACCGAATGGCGACATGATGAGTAAAAACTGTTCATGCATGTGATGATGCGCGACTTGCGACTTAGTGATTCCAGGCGTTCAAGCTATTACGCGGCAGGCGCTACGCGTCCTGTCAGGCCCGCGGGTGTCGTCACCATCTAGTCAAACGTGACATTGGTTTTCACCATCACTAACTGGAAGCGATTTTGTGAGAGATGCAATAGACGTTAAAAATTCATGATAATGCTATGCTTCTATGTAAGCAACAGACCTACTTCCAGGTAGGTTGGTGAGTATGCAAAACCCTTAACCGAGAGGTTGTAATCCATGCCACTCTTGATAACGCCAACGATGCACGTATGCATTGTAGAAAAAGTTCATTACGCTGGACAGGTATTAGGAAAATTGTAGTCCGCACATCAGAAGCCGTTGAAGCCCATGAGAATGCCCGCACCAGCGACCGCAGCACCGCCAACCCATGGGTTTGCAGTTGCGGCCGGCATGGCAGCGCCGGTAGAGGTCAGGATTCCACCGCCACCAGTTATGTTGGGTCCATCAATTCTGGGTCCGCCAGTGCCGACAGCTGCAGTAGACACTGCGTTGGGAACACCTGTAGCGTTGGGTACGCCGTCAGAGCCTTCTTTAATCTCCTGGACGTTTTCTGAGGTGGCATTGAAATTTGTCTGGGCAAGGGAAATTTCGTTGTTCTCAAGGTCGTAGACAACGTATGCGGATCGTAGGAAAGTATCGCCGAGAACGGCGATAGAGGAGCCCGCGGGCCCAATGCCAAGTATGCAGACGGGCTGTCCACGACTAACGGCAGCAACTATGACAAGCTCGTTGAGTGGGACAGAGATCGTGACACCGGAGAAGTTGAATTCAAGCGAGCCTTCCTGATTCGCAAGGTCGCAGTCGACAGTGGCTGCGCCCTGCGAAGGACGGTACTGGGCGCCGAAGGTCTGGTACAGAGCGCTCGCGACATTATCGGGAAGATACATCAAGGAGGACCCTGAGTCAAGCAGGACCGGTACGTTGGAATCGTTGAAGATAGAACCGTTCTCGCCGTTCTGCCCCATACCAGTTAGAGCGATGATGAATTCGGCATATTGTCCACGCTCTGGGATAATTGGTAGTGTCTGTAGTTCACCCGAGTACTTGTCGGTGTCTACGCCTCCAAAGAGAATGCTTCCGGTCGACGCATCCAGGTCGTTCAGCCATAGCGAGTATGCGTTCGAGTTGATAGTACCGTCGTCCTTTAGCTTTTGAGGCAAATTGGGGTATGGTTCTAATCCGGCGCGTCCTACGGCAACTTCGTTGATGGTGTAGCCAATTCCGAGGATACCCTCCGGTGAGCTCGATACGTAGCCGATACCGAACTGCAGATCTTCTACTGTCTGGCCGCCGAGGCGGAAGTTGTCTGTCGCGTAGTCTCCTGATGCGCCTGACCCGTCAACGTATGAAATGTTGAACGCGCCATTCACGTAGTTGTATGTCGAAGAGTCGTTCGCGTTGTAAGTGCCCGATTCCCCGCACTGGTTACCGCCTTGGCTACACAGATTCGAGTTGACGGAGTTGACCCAGAGGTCGCTGCTGCCGGTGTCGATGTGGAGGCGGAAGTTCTGTTCGGGGGTGCCTAAGCTGGCGTTGGCGAAGTAGAGTGTCTCGAGGTTGTCAAGCGTCTGCTGGACAACGTTTTGCCGTCTCCGTAGCTGGTCGTGTGCGACGGGGTTGACATTTCGGCGCTGGGTATCCAGACGCACTACTCTTGGGTTCTGAAAAAGTCAGCATCGCATTCGACAAAGCTCTGGTGATGCGCACGAGGCGCTGCGGGAGGATTCGCTTCGCAGTGAATCTGGGGTGCCAAGAGTCGCACTTACCTCTCGCGGTGCAAGCCTCACTGCTACAGCCGACGACGCCAATTGCGCCGCCAAGAACGTCGAATACTTCATGATGTGGTTTCTGAGAAGAGGATCCTAGGGATGTGCGATCGATGTATACCACAGAAGTGAAAGGATCCCTGGTGTGGCTTGGTAAAACCTGACGCACGAGTGGTCGGAGTTGGTGAGGGCGGCAATGGCCTTGTGTTTGAGATTGCAATTGAAGTCGCAAAAAGCGGAGCGCTGTCCAAGCACAGTGCGAGTAGAGGATGACGAGGGAATAATAGCAACAAAGCAGAAACAAACGAGCTGTGACTAGGAATACAGTCGATGCGAAGTAGAGGCGCAGGCGCAAGGCTTTAGTCGGCGCAGGGGGCGTTCGAGCCTTGTGATGACGACGCGTATGATGAGGTCAAGTCTGGACCTGTAACGGATTCTGTGGCCCTTTAGTGCACCTGCCCACGTAACAAGCATGGGCAGCCGCCGCCATTTCCGGGCCTAAAATCGCCAGCCAACGGGACTTGTGTGTGCCTTGCTGGGGGATCCGCAGGGCGTGGCGTTGCCTCGATTACGAGACGATTCGTTTGTATCGCAAAGCCATGCGCTTGGTGCCGATGCTGGCATCCCTTGCCGCCGTGCGCCGCCTGCGCCTTGTTCGCGCTCCAAGGCTGCGCCGACAAGGCCAACATTACCAACGACATTCAGCATTCACAACTTCCTCAGCAAACGTCTGGGGCTACTTCTACACAACAGCTCGCTGACATGCGTGGACTTGGTAGGTTGCGGACCGCTTCCGTCAGCCGCATACGTCACCCTGTCAACCACCAGCATCCCAGTGTCTTGACGCCGTCGCCATGTCGCAAGCTACTAAGGCAATGCAAATAGCCCGTGTGTTAGCGACTGAGGAGCGATCGGGTGGTTTCTTCAGGCGCCCGATGCTCGATGGCTGCGCCTCTCGAAAAAGACGTTTGGGGCTGAAACCTCAGGACCTGCAGCATCGGTCGGTACCTGAAAGCCCATCTGGCATGCCAACTGAAGATCCCTCGAGAAGATCATTTCGTGCTTTGCGTTGTAGAGGCGTGCATGACAATATGTGCAAGAACATAGCCTCGATCCGTACCGACGCCAGTGTGTGATCTGGAGAAAAAATCCCGATCTGATCTATCGTGCTACGCAGGTGACGTCGCGTCGGACGAATCTATCTTTAGCGCCAAGGGCATGATATTTCGCTGCCGCGGCTGCGCGTCGATCGTGCCCGGCTCACGTGAGCACTAGTCCCAAGACGGACGACCCGTGAAAGCGCGTTTGCAGAGCATCGCGTGTTTCGCGTCACCCCTCCAAGTCAACCACCACAGCGCAAAATGTCAAAAGCCGAATCCTCCAAAGCCGCCGCCAGCAATGGCGTCAAACCAAACCCCAATGCGGCCGGCGGTGCAAACTACGAGCTGCCATGGTAATTCACCGCCCGTGGCCTTCGCCAGCTTACATCGACTAACATCGTCCCAGGGTAGAGAAATACCGTCCCGTCTACCTCGATGATGTCGTGGGCAATACCGAAACCATTGAGCGCCTCAAGATCATCGCCAAAGATGGCAACATGCCCCATATGATCATCTCTGGGATGCCTGGTATCGGCAAAACCACATCCATCCTCTGTCTCGCACGCCAACTCCTCGGTGATGCCTACAAGGAGGCTGTCCTCGAACTCAATGCCTCAGACGAACGTGGTATAGACGTCGTCCGCAACAGGATAAAGGGCTTTGCGCAGAAGAAAGTCACACTTCCCCCGGGCAGGCAGAAGCTGGTCATCCTCGACGAAGCGGACAGCATGACTAGCGGCGCACAACAAGCTTTGAGGAGGACGATGGAGATATACAGTGCAACAACCCGATTCGCATTCGCTTGCAACCAGTCGAACAAGATCATCGAGCCGCTGCAATCGAGATGCGCCATCCTCCGATACGCCCGCCTTACCGATGCGCAAGTCGTGCGCCGCGTCATGCAGATCTGCGAAGCCGAAGACGTGAAATACTCAGACGATGGAATTGCGGCATTAGTGTTCTCAGCAGAGGGAGACATGCGACAAGCCATCAACAACCTACAGTCGACGTTCGCTGGTTTCGGCTTCGTCAATGGCGACAATGTCTTCAGGGTGGTCGATAGCCCGCATCCCATCAAGGTGCAAGCCATGATCAAGGCATGCCATGAGCAGCGTATCGACGATGCTCTGACATCACTGAAAGAGCTGTGGGATCTGGGATACTCGTGTCACGACATCATCAGCACGATGTTCAAAGTTACAAAGACGATTGACACGCTAAGTGAGCACGCAAAGCTGGAATTCATCAAGGTAAGGGTTCGCAACAGACGATTTTTACAGAGGCTAACCGCAATCAGGAAATTGGCTTCACCCATATGCGCATCCTTGAAGGCGTACAAACCCTTCTGCAATTGTCTGGCTGTATTGCGCGCTTGTGCAAGATCAATATGCAGCCCCAGCTGTTCGCACTCCCTACGTCGAAATGAAAACGTTCCTTCGAAGCATCTGCAACATTTAGCATGGAGTTCGGAGTTCACATCTTGCCTATGTAGGCCTGTACAGACATATCCTAGTGCAAACGCCGTCGTACGACCTTGACATCGAAGTCCTGTGTATCTATCCGCTCCAATTCTCGGTGACTTGTTCTATTTCGTCTACCGAACACAAAAGTCTTGTAACGCAACGCCTCTAACCACATTTAGCGTCGATGTCTACATGCTGCTAGGCCTGTGGGCTCGACAAATTACTCCACGCGTCGTTTGCACAAACCACATCGTATCCTGTGTTTTGCAGCAAACTTCCATCCTACATATCAACAGGAACATGGCTTCATATTGATGGCCCACCACAGACAGAATTTCCAACTAACGATCTATCCCACTGACAATGTCTGAAATGCAAGGAAATCCCACTCCTGCTGACCAATCCTCACCAGCTATCTCATCGACTATGTCTGACGTAAAGGAAACCCCAACCGCTCTTGAACTACCCTCGCCGGCTATCCCATTCGTCACCTCTGATGTGCAGGAAACCCACATCATTCCTGACCTCGACAAATCTCCACTCTCGATCGCCCAGACCCCCAAGGAGACGAAGCGACCTCCTCCCATTGACACCACACGTAACTCGACCATCGACATAGCGAAAATCACCCCACCAGGCCAGACGGACAAGTTCCCCAAAGAGGCTCTAGGTACCTATACACCCAAAAACGCACCCGTGACAGACGCCATGATCGAACGCACATACCAAAGCATTCTACGAGGGGACTTCGGCATCGATCTCAACACGTTCAAGCCCGACGAGAACGACCCGGATTACGATGTACGAAGGCACTTGTCGTTGGTGCAGCTGGCGCTATTGGCGACGATGCAGGACGACCACCAGGATAGGATTATCGAGGCTATCCGCGATGATGCCGAGGGTAGTGTCTTCTGGAAGGGACCTGGTAGTGAGGATGCTGGGATTGGATGGCGGAAGGATGATGAGGAGTTTAAGGCTGAGATCTGTAGGCAGCGTTGATGAGCGTGACGAGTAACCCGTGTGGAGTCTCCTCTTTGATGAACGGGATAAGCTGGGGAAGGGCAAGATATGATGGGTTCTTTGGAACTGGGAATAAGTCATGGACGCATCACTAGTCTTCATGCATACCACGCAGAGTTGATTCATAGATTCTTTTCATTCGTGATCCTCATGCAACCACTTTGATGATACCTAACGCACTGTAGACTAAGGCTACATTCACCTCGGTAGCAACAGTACTACCTAGTACGCCGATGTCGTCGCAGGATAGATAGGCGAAGGGAAAGCTTGAATGATGGACGACGTAATCGGCACGAATGATTGCGTGTGCGTTGCATTCGCAGAGCCAGAAGATGTCAAGTTGGCAGTGACCTTCTCCTCGCCAGTCGCGATATCGTAGTGGTACAGAGTACGGTTGAAGTATGCCAACGCAGCAACAGCTAAGAGTCAGGTTAGCAAAACACGTTGTCTGAATAGACGGTCTGAATGGGAGGTAGCAACAATACTTACGCTGGTAGTAAGGAATCTCATGACCGGCCTCGTAGACGCGCGCAAAGCTAAAGTTGCCATACTGGCGTACCTCGCCGTATTCCGTGCCATCAACCATCATAGGCGCGTAACCTGCGGCACGGAACTCGTCGCTGTGAGTGTACTCCATCGCAAGACTGATAGCTTCACCACCAAACCAGTTGCCTGAACATGTTAGAGATATCTGATCACTGGTATGTAGTAAACGACTTACAGATGTAGTCAGCATCGCCATACGCCAAACTAACACGCACATCCTGGCTCAGCAAGTACTCCAGATCGAGCCTGAAGTTGGGGTAGATGAAGTCTCCCGTGTTCTGGAAAGCATAGTAGATGCCATTGCTACCAGAGTAGTTGAGAGTAACGCCAAGAGCATCCTGGATTTCTGCAAGGTTCAAGTAATCGCCGTAGTTAGAGGGGGGTGTCGGGTCCTCGTACGTGTGACGGACATCGTAGACGCCGCGGCCTGAGTAGTAGTAGTATGGAGATTCGACGTTGTCACGGCACATGTCTGCTGCTTCATTGCAGATCTGCATCTCGCCTGGTGTTAGCTCGGCTTCGGTGATCTTTGCATCGGCGTGGTAGTAGGTGGTGTTGCCTTCGGCGGCAGCTCGGCAGAGGGCGATCTGGTAGAGACATCCGTTGTACATGTTGTTCGCAAACTTGGCATATGAGTAGACGGTGTCGTTGTACGCTTTGATACCGTAAGTGTTGTTAACAGCGAACTCGGGGTAATGCTCGGCTTGGATGGCCTCGTCGATGATGCCGTTAATTATGCCGAGCGAGTTGAAGTTGAGTGGGTAACCAGGCATACTTCCATTTTCGATCTTCAGGTTCTGGTTGTAGAAGTAGCTGAAGAATGCTGGGCCATAGTGACCGCCGTAAGACTCGGTAAAGAGGTTGAAGTCTCTCGCAGCATCCAGATCTCCAAGCTTGGCATCAAACTTGGGGATGGTGGCCAAGAGAGCTTGGAAAACGTGCTACATGTATCGAAGGAGATTAGCGCGGGTCAAATGCATTCAATAGCAGATGTCTACTCACCCACACAGCAACGGCAGCAAGATCCGTAGTGTCAATAGTACCAGTGTTCAACGGTTCAAGCAGAGGCCATCGACCAGTAGCGGGCCATTCGCTAGAGTTGTAGTGGAAGTCTTCGGAGAACGAGTTGAAGCTTCCGACACCTTGCTTCTGGTAGCTGAAGCCAGTTCCGACAGGCTGCGAGATGTACAGCATGTTCGAGACATTGTTCCAGCTGTATGGGTTGTACACCGCAGTGAGGTTGTCGTCGATCATGCAAGGTCCATTCTCCTCAAATAAACCGATCAGCGAGTCAGATCCAGGACCTCCGTTCAACCAGAGGGTGAATGGGTCCGATGCTGGATCATTACGAGATTCGAAGAACCAGAAAAACACATGGACCTATATGGCATTAGAAAGAGCGCTTGTATGTATGGGCAAGATTGATACGCACATCAGGTGTCAAATCCACATATCCAGAGTAGCTGTCCACGCCTGGAGTGGTCTCGCAGATACCAGGGTTCTTGTACCGGATGGTGACATTGTTCGGAGCAGTCGCGGTTTTGTAGTCGCTAGTCTCTTTCGGCAAGTACAAGTGGTCGCTCCTCTTGGTCCACTGCTTCTGAGAGACAGCAGCAGCCTGTAGGGCGAGGCTTGAAAGCGCCAACAAAGGCGTCACTACCGACTTGGTGAACATGCTGAGAGCTGCAGACAAATGGCGCAAGAGCAGTGAGAAGAGTGTGAGAGCAACTTACCCTAGCGTATTTAAGCAGTCTTGGAAAAGGCTTGTCAAAGCTTGTCGTTATACGCGCGTTGAGGTCACTATCTTGACTTTTGGCGGGGTTGTCGAATGAAATGGGCTCGCGCGTCGGACATGGTTTCGCTCCTGCCTCAACGGGCTTAGGCATTCCGTTCAGCACCGGTACCATGCTCTTTAAAGCATGTAATCTCACCAGCCTCGCTCCGCGATGTTTATTGCCGAAGATAAGTTGCTCGGGCCGGCAAAGCTTTGCAGAACATGTCGTCAGCTTGTAGGGATTGTCGGGTGAGATCTCCATATGCGGCCAGAGTGTTCGGTAACGCTCACTTGCTCAGTACGGGAACGATTCTTTGATCTCTTGATTTGTAGTCTAGTTTAATCTACATGGGTGTATTTACTGATACAGATTCCACCTGCGGAGTTCTTTTTAATCACCTAGCGCTGACGTGCCTTGGACTAGTTTTCGGAGTCGAAGAGTGGAGCTTTCGAGCGTTTCCGTGATCTTGCACCACAAACCCTTTACTGCTCCTCCCAGGTCAAATTGAAGCGTCCAGGCGCACTCTGATACTCCTTCAGATGTGTCAACACTTCGTCGGCGCTAAGAGCCTCAGAGATGATGCCAGCGTTGGTAGGCGCAACGAAACCGCTGGTCACAGCGTTCTTGACCCACTCGATGAGACCACTCCAATAGCCGTCCACGTTGTACACGATGACAGGCATGTCGTGGATGCCCAGCTGGTTCCAGGTGGTGATTTCCATCAGCTCTTCAAATGTTCCGTAGCCGCCAGGCAGAGCAACGAAGCCGCCGCCTGGTCCACCCTTGACAACTTCCTGAGCCATCATCTGCTTTCGCGTGTGCATGTCCTTGACGACAGTAGTGCGTCCGTATTTGTCTGCGTCGATAGAGTGGCCGTTAGGGTTGGCAAGGTCGTTGTGCTGCTCGAGTTGAGTGAGGGCGCCGGGGATGATGCCGTGGACCGAGTCGGGGCCCGACAGCGAGACGAGGGTTCGTGCTACCTCGCCCATGAGGCCGACAGTGCCGCCGCCGTATACGACCTTGGTGTTGGCCTTGTGGAGAGCATGCGCAAGTTGCCTCGCTGCCTCCATGTGGACTGGCGATGTGCCACTGGAAGCGCCGCAGCTGTATCACAGTTAGCTATTCGCTCCGTCAATCGGTTGACGTCCTGTCTACATACAATACGGCAACCACGGGCTGCTTGGCAGAGCCATTGCTAGCTGTTGCGTTGTTGTCCGCCATGGTTGTTCGGATGGTTGATAGAGATGCTCGGAACGAGGTAACTAGAGTCGGAACGCGGGCTGTCAAATGCAATTGACGTGTTGAGGAGGGGCGGCGACAGAAGCTTGAGAGGAGCCTCTCCAACGGAGGAGGGGTTAAGGCAGCGGTAGCCCCATTATAAGGTCGTCAAGATGATGTTAGGCAGCACCTTTTGCGCAGCATTCTCATCAACCCATAGCTGCAATCCCTTGGTGAAGGGTAAGCTCCAAAGGGTATGCATTTCGGTGAGGTGCATGAGGTCACCGCCACCTGGGCCGGGAACTCGAGGCCCATGTGGCTAGACCCTGACGCGGGACAGGCACGGGCCCTCGGCGGAACCGCCAATTCCTCGGAAAGTCTCCAGGTTATGTGTTCAGACTTCATCGCGAGTTCATCTTCCTTTTCCACCTGACAAGCTGCTCAAGCCGGAATTAAGGTTCCGCACGTTGCCATCATGCCAGAGGCACAAGCAGCCGCCGCGCCGCCCGAGGAGGGCAAGAGTGTAAGTCGCAAACAAGACCCCTCCGCTCCGAGATGATAGCTAACGGCTCCGTGATAGCTCGTCAAGTCCATTGTACAGAGCGTTGGCCTGTTCCTGCTTATCCAGGGTGGCATGAAGTACTTCATGCCCCAGACTGCCAAAACCGTCCCCGCCGTCAACGATTCCGCGCAAACTGGCTCGGTCGCCGCCGTCAAACCAGCTGGCAATGTCGTGATTCCCGCATGGGAGCAGCGCCCACAATCCCTCGACCCTGGTGCTCAATACAGCCACATTCCGTATGCCGTCGCGCCCATGTGGCCTGCCGGCACCGAGATGGACATCGCCATGTACATCTCCTCGTCCGTCGCAATGCCCCCGCTCAAGTCGATGCCCAAGGACTCGCTGTTGATCGAGGAGAAGAACTTCAAGTTTGGAGACTACAAGGAGAACAGAGAAATCCATACCGAGTTCAAGGTTCCGATAGAGGTGCAGCACAATGCTACTCTGCTCGCTCACTTCTATGTTGCGCAGAGTGGCAGCGTGCTCGACCCCACGCAGCCCGGCTACGACAACAGCAAGGCCTACCACTTCATCCGCCCATTGTCTCAATACCAGCCCAAAAAGAAGATCGCGAAGACGAGGAACTTGCTGAGCGACATGCCAGAAAGAGCCGAGGTGGAAACCGAGGAGGAGAAGAGTGCGCCAAAGATTGTATCCTCCTACTACCATCCCAACTTCACCGTCTCCCTGATTCCCGACGCGGGTACTTTGCAATATGCCGCCATGCATCCCGGTCCCAGGCGGTTCATCACACTCGAGGCTACCGGCGCACGAGATGCAAGTGGTCAGAACACCTGGTACTATCCCATCGTATTCACCAACACCTTCTGGCAGCTCAAGAAGCACATGATTGAGCTGAACGATACCGTTACAACCCTCCCGCTCAACGTGAAGCTCAACAACCTCGCCCATTGGAAGTACAACATCTTTGCCGCAGTTGACGAGAACCTCAATGCGAACGCCAGGGCTGCAGCTGCAGGTCAATCTACGCCAGGAGGTGGCGATGGCTCTGAGATGGAGATGTTCAAGGAAATCTTGATAGACAGCAACTCATACCTCCTCGCCATTACCTTTGTCGTCTCCATCTTCCACATGATCTTCGAGATGCTTGCCTTCAAGAACGACGTCCAGCACTGGCGCAAGAAGAAGGACAATATTGGAACCTCAGTCCGCACCATCGTCGCAAACGTGTTCATGCAAGCCATCATCTTCCTCTACCTCATAGACAACAACGAGAACACATCCTACATGATCCTATTCGGCCAAGGCATGGGCATGGCAATCGAAGCATGGAAGATCACCAAGTCGGTCAACGTGCGCATCCGCCAAACAATGCCTGGCTCTCTACTCCCCTACACCATCGCATTCGAAGACAAGCACGTCCTGTCAGACACAGAAAAGAAGACAGAAGAATACGACGCCGTCGCATTCAGGTACCTCTACATGGTCGCCGTGCCCCTCCTCATCGCCTACGCCATCTACTCTCTCATGTACGAAACCCACAAGTCATGGTATTCCTTCATCATCACAACACTCGTCGGTTCCGTCTACGCCTACGGCTTCCTCATGATGGTCCCCGCCCTCTACATCAACTACCGTCTCCAGTCCGTCGCCCACATGCCCGGCCGCGCCATGACATACAAGTTCCTCAACACCTTCATCGACGACCTGTTTGCTTTCACCATCAAGATGCCCACACTGCATCGTCTGGCCACCCTCCGCGACGACGTCATTTTCTTCGTTTACTTGTTCCAGACGTGGAAGTACAAGGTCGATTACAACCGTGTCAACGAGTTTGGACAGGGTGGCGATGATGAGGAGGTCGAGGAGAAGGATGCTAACAAGCCGCTGGCTGCTCACCCGGGTGGCGATAAGAGCTTGAAGGTGCCTGATCAGGAGAAGTTGGAGAAGGTGCAGAAGGAGAAGGCTGAGGCTCAGGCGACGGGGAGTCAGAAGAAGGGCGGTGCCACGAAGAGGAAGTAGGATCATCCCTGACAGTGAGGCTGTAGGTCTCTTGTACAGACTTGATACCTTAGTGGTGTTGTATAGTTAAGTTCTATTTATTTACAAGGGATGGTTTTGTGAGTACAGCGCTGATGTGATAGATCGGTTCGTTGCCAGGACTCGGTTTCTTGGCTTGAACCGATCTATCGCATCAGCGCTGTAGCCACAAAATCATTCCGAAGAGATATTGTTGTATTACCACAAATAATAGAAGATTCGCCCTGGTATCCACTGTGCGCCTTTGTTGTTTCATCACCTACAGCGATCTGGCTGGAGTGCAGCTATCGTCGAAGCGCCTGTCTCAACGTTCCCCTTGCTCATCAGGTTCGTTGATTCTTCAAATGGAAAGTGGGCAATTTGTAAAACCGTATTTTTTTCATTACAAGGCCAGATCAGGTAGTGCAGCTAAGTTGTACTAAAGATATGACGCCGAAGCGTGATTGAGAATCACCGTAATCGTACATCTGACTAACCAGACTAGAAAACCTTTGGAAACCCGTCGTTCCCTGGCGTATGCCAGTGCTGGATCAAGTGACTCGCATTCGCAGCCACAACGCCTCGCAATGCTTTTGACTGGATAAAGCAAACTGTCCACCATTGTTGTGCCTTACCACCCTTTCAGGAAAGACTATAACGTATATGTAAAGGATGAAATCCGAAAAGACCAGCATTGGAAACCTGCCATGTCGAGACTAGTCGATCGAAAATTGTTGTGTACAGGAAAGTAATTCAGATCAAGGGGACGGCGCATCTGCTGTGGGAGAAGCGAGTTACCCCTGTGGGAGTCATGAGAAGCCTGGAAGCTGGAATCCGAAGCCAGGGACGGCGGGTGGAACGGCAACACCTTGTTCAGGTCGAGGCGATATGTGGCGTGGGTCGTTGACGGGACGATGATCTTGCTTGCGGAACTTGGCCGGGCCGTTGTTGTCAAAACCACCGCGCCCGCCGTTACCAGCGAACTCGTTGCGGCCGAAGTCTGCACGCTCATTGAAGTCATTCCGTTGGTTGAAGTTACCACGTCCGCCATGGTCTCCACGTGCATTGAAGTCACCTCGGTTGCCGAAGCCTCCACGACCTCCGCGAGGCACGTCAGTTGGTACACGCCGACTGATAGCTAGGTTGTGTTAGTCGTGTCGTAAACAAGTGATGGATGTACATACCCTTTGAGGAAACACCTGCACCTATCTCGATGTCCGGCTCCTCGATCACCATACCTCCCTCTAGTGGGCGACCACCTGTTCCACCATGCTCAGCGGTCAAAGCCCACTTGCGATCAGCATCTGTAAGACGAGAGATGGGAACTACACTAATGCCAGTGGTGTAATCACTGCAGTCACGGGGCCCAAAGCCGACACCCCATCGGGTCTAGTACTGTTAGCAAAGGAAAGTAGGCATCAGGAACGACTATCTTACCTGGCGCGCTTTGGACTGTGCAGCGGGATCCTGGAGGGTGTCCATACCTTGCTTGGCGGCAACGGCATCCGGACGGGTCAACATCTTGACGAAAGCGTGTCGCTTATCCTGGTTGACAATACATGTTTGGACTCTACCAAAACGAGCGAATATGCTTCGGATCTCACCTTCAGTTCCGCCAGCACCACCTACAAATAATGTACGGCTGAGGACTCTGATGTGATCGCGCGGCAAAGTTTCATCCCACTCGATATACTTCGACTGGCCATACGCTGCCCTAGGCGGGCTCGGCTGTCGTCGCGGCGGTGACCGCTGGCGATACTCATTACGATCATTACGACCACCCCTCTGTTTACCACGACCACGACCGCGCTCACCTCGCTCAAAGCGTTGTGCATTGCCCTCGGGACCTGCATTGGGGTCGTAAGTACCATATGTCGGACTTTCCCGCCGATTTGGGTTTGGTGGAGATCTAGGCACGGGCGATCGTCGACGTTGATAGTCGGGCGATCTGCTACGGTCGCGCATTCTACTGTCGTTCAGGTCATATCTGTCTCCCTGGTTACCGTTCTGCGCAGCAGGCTGAACCTGTGGCGGTGTCTGCGCAACAGCCGGGAGCTGCATTGGTGGCATAGGCATTCCGCCATTCTGGGCCATAGCCAACGTATTCAGTGCCTGTATTGCTTGGTCGGGTTGGATGGAGCCAGCGCTCATAGCCTTTAGAATCTGAGTCACGATCTCATTCGTACCAGCGGGGGGAACAGGCATGTTAGGCTGCCCCATTGCCCCAGCAGGTGGCGGAGGCACGAAGCCAGGGGGTGGTGGCGGTACCATGTTCTGTTGAAAAGGAAACGCAGAAGCTGCTGCAGGTGGAGGGTTAGTTTGCCCATTCTGCTGACCGACGCCAGCGAGCGCAGCGAAAAGAGCACCCGGGTCTTGTGGAGGTTGTGGCAGAGCTACAGGGGGTGTTGGCTGCTGGTTAGTGTGCCCGTTGAATACTGGTACTGTGCCGTTACTCTTAGGTGGCTCTGGAGGTGCTGATGCATCTACGTTGACTACGGGTTAGCTAGATGACGCCTGGAAGACGAATGTTGACCTACTGTTTTGGCCTCCATTCAGCTGCTGCTTGAAGCCGGCGAGCATGTCATGTGGAAAGGTCTGACCGCGCTCCCAGATGTCTAGGAGTTTCGAGATCTTCTCTTTTTGTGTCTCTGGTGCAGATTGAATCAAATTGTGCATCATGGCCGGAAGCACGTCTCGCATCATCTGCACACCCGAAGCATAGGTTCCTTGCGCCGCGTTCTTTGACACAGCCTGGCCAGCCTGCTTAGCCCTCTCAACCCATTGGCGGGCGACTGCATCTACGACGTATAGTACTCCGAGCTTGTGTGTGGCGACGCTGTTCTGGAGCTGCTGGGCGATCTTTTGGACGATTACGGAGTGAGACTATAAGTGAAGGCAGATACTTAGTACGAGGTCCCATGTGCACGGAAGATGTGTAGGAGATCCTGGCGACTGGCATACCTGAATGTTGTCGACGCACAGCTGCGTGATAGCCTTGATCTTGGTGGGCGTGACGCCCGGCGGCTTGAGGGCCTGTAATGACTGCAATTGCGTGCCTAGTTCTTCCATGGCTGCCATGATTAGGTTCAACGGACCAGGTCAAACTTGATGCGAAAGGAAATGAAGTGTCGGTAACAGCGCGCTATGGGTGGAGCGCGAGGTGAGAGAAGCGAGATGGCAAACGCGCAAGCACTTTACTCGAGCTCGCCAGAAACAGCCGAAGCGGGCAGATCTAGGTAGTAGGATGACTGTAGAAGAAAGGTGCAGTTGAGCGAGCTGCGCGCGAGATGCAATGCGCAGTGTGGGGATTGCGCTGACGTGTGGTGTGAGGTGTGTAGGGAGCGAGCTGTGGTGCGATTCAATCTAGGATGCGACGGCGCGCTGAGATTGGAATGCGCGAGGCGTCTTCTTCACTACGAAGTGCGAGCGTCGCAGCGAGCCAGAGTTCAAAGAAGCAGCGGAATAGGTCGCCAGAGTTGGGGCTGGTCTACGTCAAGGGCGCAGCGGCAGGTGAGTAAGACCCGTGTGATGAGTCCAGACAGAGAGAGGGATGGCTGGGTGCGTGCTTGGTGCCGAGTTTGAGAAAACAGCGCTAGCCGCCGACACGTGACGACATGATGGAGACGACCCACCCCAGCCCGGACTGGCAAGGACTGGCAAGCTGGCACCTAGGCTGGCCCGACGCTTGCAGCATCTGGAGCCCTGCATTTGTTGACCCAGCGATCGCTCAGCTTTTCTGTACATGTGGCCTCAGAGCTGCGTGGCCCACAGCAGAGACTGTGCCTTGCATACGAGCACCGCCGTTTTGACGTACTTTCTACCCGCCAGCTCCAGCAAGCACCAAGACTGTGCCGAGGCGATTGCATGACCTGTTACACGTCCCAAGCTTAGCACTCCATACTATGGCCTGTATGCTCGGAAACCGGCAGTAGCGGCGGCGTACCTGTCTGCGAAGAAGTGAAATTGAACATGAACATGAACAAGAACATGCCGGCATCACGGATCGTTCTTTTTGCCAGATACAAGCCTCGTGCGAGACTACGCTTCACTCCACTCCATTGGCCCTCCACAGCACCGGAACTGAGGGACTTCCGAACGTTGCCCGCGCGGGTAGCATTCCTTTCGCTGCAAGGTTGCGCGACCATGACGACCGTGCGAGCTCCACCGATATTTTCTCGCATCGTCCCGATCGAAGCCTTTTAACTCCCCCCCATCCGCCCGCCCTCTTGTCCTTCCTCACACATCACTACCATGGCTTCTGCTCTAAGACTGTCGAGCGCTCTCCGCGCCGCCGCCCCTCTGCGGACCACAGCCTTCAATGGCCTCCGCTGCTACTCCACCGGCAAGACTCAGGTATGCCACTTATCTCTCGAGAGGCCAAGGCACGCGCTAACCAGGCCAATTGCAGTCGCTGAAGGAGACCTTCGCCAACAAGCTGCCCGGCGAGATCGAGAAGATCAAGAAGCTCCGCAAGTACGTGCTGCCGGCCCCGCGCCCACCCCAGTGCACCGCTGACATCATATCCCAGGGAGCACGGCAACACTGTTGTCGGTGAGGTCACTCTCGACCAGGTCTACGGTGGTGCCCGTGGCATCAAGTCGCTCGTCTGGGAGGGATCCGTCCTCGACTCTGAGGAGGGCATCCGTTTCCGCGGCAAGACCATCCCCGAATGCCAGGAGCTCCTCCCCAAGGCCCCCGGCGGCCAGGAGCCTCTCCCAGAAGGTCTCTTCTGGCTCCTCCTCACCGGCGAGGTCCCCTCCGAGCAGCAGGTCCGCGACCTCTCTGCTGAGTGGGCTGCCCGCTCCGATGTCCCCAAGTTCGTCGAGGAGCTTATCGACCGCTGCCCCAGCGACCTCCACCCCATGGCCCAGTTCTCTCTCGCCGTCACTGCTCTCGAGCACGAGTCCAACTTCGCCAAGGCCTACGCCAAGGGCATGCACAAGTCGCAGTACTGGGAGCACACCTTTGAGGACGCCATGGACCTCATCGCGAAGCTCCCCACCCTCGCCGCCAAGATCTACCGCAACATCTACAAGGACGGCAAGGTTGCTCCTATCCAGAAGGACAAGGACTACTCCTTCAACTTGGCCAACCAGCTCGGTTTCTCCGAGAACAAGGACTTCGTTGAGCTGATGCGCCTGTACCTCACCATCCACACCGACCACGAGGGTGGAAACGTCAGCGCCCACACCACCCACTTGGTTGGTTCCGCTCTCAGCTCTCCCTACCTGTCCCTGGCTGCTGGTCTGAACGGTCTTGCTGGTCCCCTCCACGGATTGGCCAACCAGGAAGTCCTCGTCTGGCTTCAGAAGATGAAGAAGGCTATTGGCAACGACCTCAGCGACCAGGCCATCAAGGACTACCTGTGGTCCACCCTCAAGGCTGGCCAAGTCGTTCCCGGTTACGGCCACGCCGTCCTCCGCAAGACCGACCCCCGCTACGTCTCCCAGCGCGAGTTCGCCCAGAAGCACCTTCCCGACGACCCAATGTTCAAGCTCGTCAGCCAGGTCTACAAGATTGCCCCCGGTGTTCTCACCGAGCACGGCAAGACCAAGAACCCCTACCCCAACGTCGACGCCCACTCCGGTGTCCTCCTCCAGTACTACGGCCTCACTGAGCAGAACTACTACACCGTTCTCTTCGGTGTATCCCGTGCGCTCGGTGTCCTTCCCCAGCTCATCATTGACCGTGCCGTCGGTGCCCCCATCGAGAGGCCCAAGTCTTTCAGCACTGAGGCCTACGCCAAGTTGGTTGGTGCTAAGTTGTAAGCGCGTTACTGCAACGTGCTCTACGGCCAGGAGAATGTGGAGGAATTTGTTTAACATTCAGAGATACCTTGTCCTGTGTAGAATTGCAATGTAAGGATAGGGAATGGGAGCGTTACGGCGCTACATCACTACATTTAGTGAACGAATTGCTGTATTCTCACGTCTTGATGATCAGAAATCTACGCTCCATGAAGTTCATACTATGTGTCTGTTGCGATGAAGACCGTCGTGAGTGCCTTCGGGCCATTTTCAGGTGTAGGAGATTGGCCCAATCGCATCGAAGCAAAAAGCAACGAACGGTGAGATAAGTAACCGGGATATTCGGAGCGTGGGTAGCTTTCGTTGAGCGATGGGGAACCGATGCGGATCGTTGAGCTCTCCAGTGCGACCCGACGCCGACCCAACAATTCGCTGTTCAGGTGGTGTACTACATAGCTGTACATGGAATCGCAAAAGCAGACACGAGCATACTTGTAATAGAGAAAGTGAGTTTCGGAGAGTACTTGGATGCAAAAGCAATGCTAGACCCCTCGCCCGGTACATGGCCGCGGATGGGAAGCAGCTGCGGGACATGGCCCTTCCGCCAAGTGGCCGATAGCCTCAGGGACAACCCCAATTATAGCGCGCCCGGACGGCGGTCAACCAGCAACACAGACCACCTCGCAAGCTTATACCGTTTTTCTATGCATCCCTTTCCTCGCTTTGCTCACACACTTGATACTACTCACATTTGCGACGGAGCACCCTTTTGCCTTGGTCAGGCCGCATATCTTCGACAAGAGAATCCCAGAGAATGAGCTCCACACCTGCGACGGGCGTCCCCAGCATGGCGAGGAACGGCCCGCCATCGCTCGAGAAGAAGCCGGTCAAGTTTAGCAATCTGTTGCGTGAGTCTGCGTGCTGATAGAGAGCGGGAGCGTGTGCTGACTGTAGGCGCAGTTGGTGCTGGTCTCAACATGTTTGAGTAAGTAAACATCCCACTTCACCACCAAGATCGCAATTGAAGCTGACTGAAGATGACAGAGTGACAACTCTGGGACAGGTATGCAATTTCAGGCAACAAACTTCGCCGGAAGCACACTAACGACCGATGATAGCCGTTGGAGGTCGTCAAGACTACCATGGCTGCCAACAGGTCTGAAGGCTTCTCGGGAGCCATTGGTCGCATCTGGGCGCGTGGAGGTGTTCTTGGCTGTCAGTATGCGTTCTACAGTTTCCAGACAATCCCACTAACCATCATACAGTCTACCAGGGTCTCATTCCATGGGCCTGGATCGAAGCCTCCACCAAAGGAGCCGTCCTTCTCTTCGTCGCTTCCGAAGCCGAATACTACGCCAAGTCATTCGGCGCCCCCGACTTTCTCGCCGGTATCTCTGGTGGTATGACGGGTGGTCTCGCTCAAGCCTATGCCACCATGGGTTTCTGCACTTGCATGAAGACGGTCGAGATTACAAAGCACAAGGTCGCAGCCACCGGTGCGAAGCCTCCGGGTACGCTCGAGACATTCATGGGCATCTGGCGCGCGGAGGGTCTCCGCGGTATCAACCGTGGTGTCAACGCCGTTGCGGTGCGCCAGGTCACCAACTGGGGATCCCGCTTCGGTCTGTCTCGTGTTGCGGAAACCGGTATTCGCAAGGTTATGGACAAGCAGCACGGCGAGAAGCTCAGCGTGATTGAGAAGATCACCGCTTCAGCTCTCGGTGGTGGTTTGAGCGCGTGGAACCAGCCTATTGAGGTTATCCGCGTGGAGCTTCAGTCCAAGACTGTTGACCCCAACCGCCCCAAGAACCTGAATGTTGCATCTGCGTTCAAGTACATCTACTCGAACAACGGTATCAAGGGTCTTTACCGTGGCGTTACTCCTAGAATCGGTCTTGGCGTTTGGCAGACGGTCTGCATGGTTGCTCTGGGTGATGTGTAAGTTTTGGCGATACCGCTCTTCAATATTTCGCTAACGAATCTCTAGTGCCAAGGAGGCTGTTGAGAAGCTCACTGGCGACAAGGTCACCGCAAAGCATTAGACGGCGTTCGGATACTGGATCTAACGGGGTTGATGTTCTATCAATGATCTATGCAAGTGGTCTGGCATCAGCTGTGGTCTTGGGATGAGAAAGCATGACGGGGGACATATATGACTATGACGTTCATAGCGCTATAAGATTATAATACTCAACACACTGAAAGTCTCGTGACATTGAGGCTTATTTTCAACCGCTCGTTCCATGTGAGAAACCATGTATATTGTGAAATGTTTTCCGTGGTCGTTCCTTCCTATATACTTGGGCAGTGGTGAATGCACTAGCATGTGATACAATTCCGACCATGCCCTAGGTGCCAGGTGCCTACCTAGGTAGGATGGCGCTAGCTCACGTCACAACCAACCACCACCAGCTCTCTCTCTCGCCCACCACACGACACAAACTTCGCATTTTGAACACCGCCTTTGGAGCAAGAATGCGGTATCTACCATGTCCCCACATATCGCCTGTATATCAACGGGTGATCATCGCGGAGAAAAACGGGTGAGTTACTTGTATCCTTAAACACGGCCTACTGGGTTGCTGGGAGCACGACAAGAGCTTGAAGTGGCCTCAATGCGCAACAAACAGTCACACACTTCATATTCAGAATCTGCCGATTCATTGATAATCAAATCTCTGATTTTGCCGCTGACCCAGGGTAGTTCGCCGATGGTGACGCGCCTCCAGATTTGCGAGATTGGCGTTGCGACTTGACGGGCCTTTCGCATCAACATAATCTCTACTTTCTTGCCTCTGTCGATGAGCTTCACGTCTATCAACCAAGCTTTCCAGACCAAGGTTTATCTGATAAACCTGAGCTTGTGTTACATCCGCCAAAATCTGGCACTCGTGGGTATGGAATTGACCCGTCGAACCCTCACTCTATCTGTCGCATCTTGGTCGATTATGTCGGCAACGAGGAGATGCTTATGCTGGCCTGCGACGATGGGGACGTTATTATATATCGAACTCGAGAGATACACCGAGCGTTGGAACGGCGCACCAACGTGCAGGAGCCTGCTGACGAGGACGGTGTCCATGTGTTTCTCCACTGCAATGTCGGTAGAAGTGCATGGGGCTTGGCTGTACAGCGCAAGACTCGTATGATCGCGATTAGTGCGGTATGACAACCTTGATTTCTCACACGCTCTACTCCTCTAACCTCAACAGAACACTCATCAGATAACGATAGTCGCATTCGCGCTCTCTTCCGATAGCGAATTGGAAGCCCCAGACCACGGTACCAACCCTGGTTTCCCACACAGCAGAAGAGAGGACAGTATCTTTACCCTTCAAGCGACAAACAACGTTCCCGCAGTATCATTCTACGGTGACTCCGGTCGCTGGCTTCTGAGCAGCTGCATTGATGGCAAGACATCGATGTGGGATTTGTACACCAAGAAAGAGGTGGCTACATTCCAGTTAGGCTGGTGCGCCAGCGCAAGCGATCTCTCGAAGCCGCCTCGTTACATATCTCACAGATTCCTGTGCGACTGTCCGGGCGCGCAAAATGTTCTCCACGGGGCATGGGGTACTATAGCGCTGGACACGCGATCCGCATACGAGTTACCGTTAGACGAAGGCATGACTGCGAGTTCGACATGTAGCTCGAGCGACTTCCTAGATATCTCCGACCAGAAGAAACGTTTCAAGGTTTCCGAAACCACCTCTCATCAATATCATCCCGACACAGACGACGAAGAGGACAGTACAGATGACGAAGAAATCGAAGTAGTCAGTGAAGCGAACGAGACAGACAACGACGAAGAAGATATTGATCCGAATCACCAGCTTCTCGGAATGACCTTTGAGGAGTTGGCTCAATCTGTAAGTGTAGTCTCTACTGTACCTTTTGCAACACATAAAGCAATCTCTTGTCGGATGTATCCAATCAGAACGTAGCCAGAGGGTATAGCCACGCCAACCTGGGGAAAAACTGAACATCCTGGAGCCTACGTTGATGTTGGGTCACCTACTTTGCATGGTTTTGGGTCTATGTAGTCTGCAGACCTGTTCGAATTTTTTCTTGTATGAGGTGCAGCATTACGAGGAGCAAATCTCCTCTTCGTTCATATTTGAAGTTAAAGACACGTTAGGTGACTAACATACAGCGCAGTTTGGTATAAGTGAGACGCTGTTGTCTTCCATTCGACCCGGAACATTGCGCAGCCCTAACAGAGCGCCGTATCGCCTGATTGATGACTTGAGGCCCATCGCAGAACCAATGGGTGACCCATTCTTAATCTTCACCAAAGAAGACATCTTCCTCATCCAAGGCCTTTCCGCAACATCACTCAATGTGCCTCTTAATCCCATCGTCGCGATAAGACGACCGCTGCATCCAGGACGATGGGTAGACTCCCTCATGTCTTGCGACCGACACTGCTTCTTCTCCCAGATACCCGAGCTGGGCATCTTCATAGTCGGTTCCCCGGCCGGTCGTGTCGGCGTCTTCAGTGTGTACTATACTAGAGATGAGAGCACTGGGGAGCCGCGGTATGGATTCAAACTTGAATACCTTCTGCCGTTTCGGCCAGATAATGAGACGGAGATAGCAGGAGGGCCGAACGAACGGCTGCTTGGTGTGGCTGTGGCGCCTGTACAAGGTAGGGCGATGATGAATACTTCCGCGTGGATCATATGGCTCACAGGTATACAGGCATGTTTGACCCTTCAGGAGACCTCGAAGTACCGGATCAAAGGGGCTTGCTCTCGCTCCAGCCTCGCCGATGGCGCTTGATGATGTACTACATGGATCATACTGTATTGAGCTTTGAGTTGTCAAAGCGGAGGATGGGCGAGTCGCCAAGCTTGGGTGATATGGTCGTTTAGCACCTCAATCTAGGGAAATCTAAACAGGTCTGCAGCCTACATTAACATGAAAACATGGAAAGTAGGTGACGTAACGTCAATGTAGGCTCCAGGCTTGTTCGGCGTTTTTGCTTGTATGAGTCTCTGGGATCGATTGTATGAGCACATGCTACGTAATCTACCCACTGGGTTTCATTCGATTCCCCCTTGAAGCTCAAGCCGAGATGACGAGATCTCCCTCGGGCAGTACACCTAATTCAAGAAACCCAAAGTGATCAATGTGCTGTTCAATTGGCATTGATTCTTAGGCAGACGCCCGCTATTCTCCCAGCCTCAAGTACGCTTCCAGCACCCTCCTCCTCGCCCTCACGTCCAACCTCTCCGTAGCCAAATTCTCGCTCTCCTCATCATCGTCCGTCTCATCAGCTTCAGTCTGCTCAATCATACTCTTCAATTTCTCAGCCGTCACGCCATCAGCTGGTAGACCTTTCTTGAGTAACCTCTTCACATTCTCCTTGATGCGCGCATCGTTCATACATACATACAACGTCTCAAGACGCGCAAAGGGGCGTAGGTATGGTCCGATAAGCGCATAAGAGTCCAGACCCGAGTACGAGATGACGAGACGTTGGATACGGGACAGACTGGTCGGTGGCAGGATAGAAGACAGTGTTTGCAGACGAACCGTCTCAGTGGTATTGCAAGCAGCCGTGAATCTCGCACTCAACCATATGATATCCCTGTCAAAATTGAAGTAGAACTTCTTCTCACTTTCTTCTCCACCGATCTTCCGGCCGTGAAAGGAGAATAGTGCGGTAAAATTCTCCGAAGTGAAATGAACGAGCTCTCCACCTTCATGTGCGATGCTGAAGTTTCTGGCTTCTTGGTTGGTGGAAAAGAGCGGTGGAAGTGGCGGTATGTAGCGGAGACGCGGGATGTGGTCGATAGTGTTGTAGGTGTGGAGTTCGAAGAAACGGGTTCGCGGGGCGGGAGCGGCGTAGGACCAGATTAGGGCGCGGATGGCGGGAGAGAGGCCGGTGAATGTTGGGGTAGTGGGAGACTTTTGGGTTGTAGTCTTGATAGATTTAAGGTTGATGTGTAGGTTTACAGTGTCGGTGTCGTTATACTGATCCGACTGGGTGTTGGGGGGCGGTACTGGTGGACTTTTGATGTCGACGCCGCTGTCTTGTGGAGCGTCTTCGCTATCAATGGACATGGCGCACGAGCTTAGGCTGCCAAAGCTTTGACCGGGAGAGTCGGTTGTCATGATAGAATCTTCGGATGGCTCTTTCTTCTTCTTAATATTCATCATAGTCCCGAAGGACCTCTTCAGCGATTCGAGCGCCATCCTTCGCGGTTAAGATTGCGATGTTTGGTGAGTGTTGTGCTTGTGTGTTGGAGCGGTATCAGAACCGGAAGGCTGTAGGCAGCTAACGGCAGAGCTGTTTGCGTCGGGATCGCGAAGCCAAGTGAGCGTTTGTCCGAATTGGCGAGGTAGCAAACGCATCGGTGACAACATGTGACTCCAGGACTTAGGCCGCTATCACAGGCGAGTATTGCTGGTTTCGTACCCTTCTTCACATTCACCTACGGTGCTGAGTATACTGTAAAAGTTAGCCCGAGTGTATCCGAGTCGATGTCGGTTCCTTGACTTACTCGAAAGCTGCTATCAGATCATCGCCATCGTACCTACTGACGGTTCTCGGCTGTTTCCAAGGCATTTCATTCGACCTTTTGGCGGCTAGATACTTGTTTGGTGGAGCCATTGGTGTAACGAACAGTTTCACTCCCTCGTAAAGCGACCCATGCACTTTGGCAATGAACTCGTCGAGCGCGTCTTGTGTTAGAAACGATACCCACCATATCCTTTTTCTGTCTCTTGCCAAGTTTACATCAATTGCATCGAGACCCACAGCAAGTAACCCATGATGGGGAGCGCAGAAATCCGCTAAACCGTTTGGTGTTTGCAAAGGCAGTTTACTTCCATCCCACGCGGTAATACGCGCATTTCGTTTCCCACTATATTCATCATACTTCTTGTGTGGGAGACGTGATAAGCGGCCAATGCTTGGTTTGGGTATGTCATGCA